CGCGCTAGTGGTCGCGGTTCGCGTCAGCGTCCTCCTCCTGTCCCTGGCACGCACCGGATGTCTCTGCGTCCGTCCACTGCTCCTCTGCGTGCCCCTTTGCCTTCTCCTCCTGAGTCCTCTCTTCCTGCGCTTGCCGACCCTGAGTCGGACTCTCTTCGCGCTGCCAGTCCTACTGCGTCTGCTTGCTACTGTCGTCACTGACCCCTCTTTTGAGTCCACTGCTGCGTCTGCTCTAGTCGCTGAGCTCGTTGATTTTGCTGCTCGATGTCGTCTCGACTACGCTGCTAGTCTTGTTGCTGAGTCTGCGTCTGTCTGTCCTCCGTCCGTCGGGGGTGAGTGTGCTCTTGGCACGGACGTCCTAGAGGACAGGCAGGAGGAGTTACAGTGTCTAGCGGCTGCTTCACCTCATCTCGCGTCTGTACTGCTTGCCCCTGAGGGAGACCCGGATGCACTAGACATCCCGACTCCGCGTTCTTACGCGGAGGCCGTAGAGGGTCCCTACTCCTCTCAGTGGCAGGCAGCTATGGATGCAGAGATGGCTTCCTGGAAGTCCACAGGCACCTACGTTGACGCGGTTCCCCCTCCTGGGGCGAACATCGTCAGTGGCATGTGGATCTTCAGGGTGAAGCGGCCGCCGGGCTCTCCACCTGTCTTCAAGGCACGGTACGTTGCTCGTGGCTTCAGTCAGCGGCAGGGAGTTGACTACTTTCAGACCTTCTCTCCCACCCCGAAGATGACCACTCTTCGGGTGCTGCTGCACATAGCCGCTCAGCGCGACTACGAGCTTCACTCTCTCGACTTCAGCACTGCGTTCCTGCAGGGTAGCCTGCACGAGGAGATCTGGTTGCACCGTCCACCTGGCTTCACTGGGACTTTCCCTCCTGGCACCCAGTGGAGCCTCCGACGGCCAGTCTACGGTCTCCGCCAGGCACCGCGTGAGTGGCACGACACACTGAGGACTACGCTTGCGGCTCTTGGGTTTGCTCCTTCTACTGCTGACCCGTCGCTGTTTCTGCGCACCGACACTTCACTGCCGCCGTTCTACATCCTCGTGTACGTCGACGACTTGGTCTTTGCCACAGCGGACACTGCTAGACTCGCCTACGTGAAGTCCGAACTGCTGAAGAGACACACGTGCACAGACCTGGGTGAACTGCGCAGCTACCTTGGCTTGCAGATCACTCGGGACAGAGCACGCCGCACCATCACCTAGACTCAGTCACACATGGTGCAGCAGGTCCTTCAGCGCTTTGGCTTCACGTACTCCTCGCCTCAGGCCACTCCTCTGCCTACTCGCCACTCACTCTCAGCTCTGCCTTCGGATGAGTCCGTAGAGTCGAGTGGTCCGTATGCAGAGCTTGTTGGCTGCCTCATGTACCTGATGACCTGCACACGACCTGACCTTGCATACCCTCTGAGCATTCTTGCACGCTATGTTGCTCCTGGGAGACACAGACCAGAGCACATGGCTGCAGCGAAGAGGGTATTGCGCTACCTGTGCAGTACGTCGGGCATGGGGCTAGTGCTTGGAGGGCGGATTCCAGTGGTCCTTACCGGCCACGCGGACGCTTCTTGGGCTGACGACCAGGCTACGCAGCGGTCGTCACAGGGTTACACCTTCAGCCTTGGTTCCGGCTCTGTCTCGTGGCGGTCTACTCGCTCGTCTTCGGTTCTCGGCTCCAGTTGTGAGGCTGAGATCTACGCCGGGGCCATGGCTGCACAGGATCTTCGCTGGCTCACCTACCTGCTGACTGACCTTGGAGAGCCACCTCGTTCTCCTCCAGTGCTGTACGTAGACAACAAGGCCATGCTGGCCTTGTGTTGAGAGCAGTGCTTGGAGCACAGAACGAAGCACATTGCTCTCCGCTACTTCCTTGCTCGTGAGCTGCAGCAGCGTGGTCAGTTGCGACTTGCGTACGTGGCCTCTGAGGCCAACACTGCTGATGTGTTCACCAAGGCACTCGCGCCTTGTGACCATCAGCGCTTTTGCACCCAGCTGGGTCTTGTGCCTGTCTTGCCTCACTTGCTCTCCTCTTGACTTCACTTGTACTGTGACATATATATATACCTGCTCTTGCTTGTCTAGTTTTATATATATGTCTGTACTCCTGCATGTGAACTGGCCTCTGGCCCTGCTCTTGTGCTCGGACTGTGTGGTGACTTTGTGATCCACCCTGAGCTTGCTTTGCTTTGCTTGACTGGTCTTGTGACCCCTTGTTCTCCCCCACTTTGCCTATGGGGGTGTGTCAAACATTATATATGTTCTGCTTGTGTAGGCTACAGTGGGTTAGCCTGTAGGGGGTACACAATTCTAGGGTTTCCTACTTGTACTCATTTCACTGCTAGTTCATTCATTCCTGTTCGCTTATTCTCACATCTTCGACCTCGAAAGCTTCAGTAGACAAGCTTAAAATAGGAAAATCTCGATGCACCCCCAACATGCTTTGCCATGACGAAAAATCTTCAATCCGTTTCTTTCGTTGAGGCTTGCGATGCAGCTGTCGTCTTGATTTATGTTGAATGGCAGAAAACGACGATAATCTGAAGACATTTCGGTTGGTAATTATCCTGCACTTGATCTTGCAGCCTTGATTTGCATGCGTGTCGTTCTCTTCCTGCTCCCTTGGAAATAGTGCTGGAACCGTCTTAACTTCGTAAGGACGAACAGAGCAATGTCTTGATAAGCACGTGCATTTCATTGACTGAAGAACAGGATTACGCAGGAAAATACTTGACGACCCAATGCTCTCTGTGTGAGCACAATGTTGGTGTCTTGATAAAGTTCCTGATGCGTAGATCCCAAAAATATTTCAGATCCTGAAACTGACACAGTTGAGGCTGACATTGTTAGTATTGAAAGTCCTTGACAAGAGTGACGGCGACTAGCCATGGCGGAGAGAACTATGGTAGGCGCCCTTGTGTGACACGAATCAACAGTGCTCTGACCACGTTGAAACAAGGTAACAGTGAAACAGGCTACGGCGCAGTCCGCATGGCGCGGCTGGCCTGGCCGGCCATGCCGACTAGAGAGCTGCGCCGTAGCGAGATAAAGAGAAAAAAGGAGAACGAGTAGAGGCAACGGAAGAGCTAAGCTAGAAGTAGAAGGTGGGATCCGAGATGGCAAGAAGATAGAATAGAATGATAGGATCGTAACCACCTCGGATACCAATGAAACAGGACTACGGCGCAATCTGCATGGCGCGGCTGGTCTGACCGGCCATGACGACTAGAGAGCCTGCGGCGTAGCGAGATAAAGAGAAGAGTTGTCACGGCAGCGGAATAAGAGAAAGTTAGACGAGAGTCTAGCTCCAGATTCGTCGACGAGAGAGTTGAGAAGAGATTCAAGAAGTTAGAGTAGAAAGTAGGTCCAAGGATGAGATGATACAACAAGAACTAGGAAGAGATATTTATGCTAGGAAGAGAGATGGCGACTTGGGAGGAAAACCGCGTCGCCACTTTATCTAGCATGGCATCTTGGCATAGCGCCTCGATGCCATGCCCTGCTGGATTCTAGTAACATCTAATCACTGACGAGGATAAGGGAATACGCTCCGAGGTTAGCACCTATCTCTATTCGGAGCCAACTAGGCAAAGGGAGGTTCCAACCGTCGGGTATTCCCTTGCACGCTGGTATCGGGAATCCCATCTTGTTACAAACATTTTCCCTCGTCAATCATAGCTTGAAAAGTTTTGTGCAGGCGCAGGGGGCGTTGGCGAGTAGAGCGAACCACACGAAATCGTGCAAGCGATACAAGAGACACGAACTATAGTGGCCAGGATGCGGTGCTTCCCCTTGTTCGCGTCCCTGCGGATTCCTGTAACGTGAGTCAGACGACTCTAGGTACGTGCAGGGGGCGTGCCATCTTGTGAACAAAAGTTGATTCTGTCCGCTGGACACGTTCAATAAAGGCTTACCACAAAAAATGTGGTAACTGAGGGGATTTACGAACAGTAAATGTACGAGCTGGACAACCCCTTATTCATTCCATACCACCACCAAGACCGCAGCTCTGGAAGAGCAAGGGGGTAGAGTAGCATGGGGGGGGAGATTTCGGAATGGAGAGCAGAATGGGGAGCACGAGGGGACCAGAGCGGAGAGGTAGGGAGAAGGTGAGGTGGCCTAGCTGGGAGGGCAGAGGGGGATGAGGCAGCAATGGGACAGAGCAGGGTGAGTGAGAACTGTAACTCTGGAAGAGCAGAGGGGTAATGTAACAGAGGGGAGGAGATGCCAAAATGAGGAGCAGAATGGGGGGCACGAGGGGGCCAGAGCGGTAAGGTAAGGAAAAAGTGAGGTAGCATCGCTGGGAGAGATTCTCGAGGAGCGTACCGTTTGCCTTTTGCGTTTGCGCGACCGAGATCACGTTCCGGTTCGTGAGGCGCTGCCGGCGGCGGGCTGCGAAAGCCTCGTGGTCAGACGCGCGGTGGTTGTTGGCGCACAAAGCGCACACGTGGCTGGAGAAGTTGAGCACCATGGGAGGCTTGTTCTCTTCCAGCGGGATTTCGGATGGAATGCGTTTGAAGTTCGGGTCGTCGGGGGTAGCGATTGGGAGCCCTGCGAGGTGCGTGAAGTATGTGTCCTCGTAGGGGTCCGAAACACGGTGGAAATCCGTCAAATCCGCCAGCCAGTGCGCGCCGTCAGAATCGGTGGAGCCGAGGAGATAGGAGCGGATGTCCTCTGGATCGAAATCCAGAGGGACGTTGCGAATGGACAGGGTGGGTGCGCCGGCAGCCTTGGCAGCAGTGAAGGCTGCAAACCTGTCCTCAAACACCTTGAGCAGCAAGGGGGCGGGAGTTGTTGCCTCATCCCCCCCCGCCGTCCCAGCTATGCCACCTCACCTTGTTCTTACCTTTCCGATCTGGTCCCCTCGGGCTCCCCTTTATGTTCTTCATTTCGGCATCTCCCCCCCCTTTTGCATTACCCCCCCGCTCTTCCAGAGCTTCAGGTTTCACTCACCCTGCTCTGTCCCATCGCTACCTCATCCCCCTCCGCCCTCCCAGCTATGCCACCTCACCTTCTCCCTACCTCTCCGCTCTGGTCCCCTCGTGCTCCCCATTCTGCTCTTTATTTCGACATCTCCCCCCTTCTGCTACACTACCCCCCCGCTCTTCCAGAGCTTCAGTTTTCACTCACCCTGCTTTGTCCCAGTGGTGCCTCATCCCCCTCCGCCCTCCCAGCTATGCCACCTCACCTTCTCCCTACCTCTCCGCTCTGGTCCCCTCGTGCTCCCCATTCTGCCCTTCATTTCGACATCTCCCCCCCCCTGCTACACTACCCCCCCGCTCTTCCAGAGCTCCAGTTTTCACTCACCCTGCTCTGTCCCAGCGGTGCCTCATCCCTCCTCCGCCCTCCCAGCTATGCCACCTCACCTTCTCCCTACCTCTCCGCTCTGGTTCCCTATTGTTCCCCTTTCTGTTCTTCATTTCGGCACCTCCCCCCCCTGTTTCACTACCTCCCCGCTCTTCCAAAGCTACAGCTCTCACTCACCCTGCTCGGTCCCATTGCTGCCTCACCCCCCTCTGCCCTCCCAGCTACGCCATCTCACCTTCTCCTTGCCTCATCGCTCTGGCCCACTCGCGCTCCCTTTTCTGCTCTCCACTTCGATATCCCTCCCCCCCCTGTTACATTACCTCCCCGCTCTCCCAGAGTCACAGCCCTCACTCACCCTGCTCTGTCCCAGTGCTGCCCCATCCCCGTCTGCCCTCCCAGCTATGTCACCTCACCTCCTCCGTGCCTCTCCGCTCTGGTTCCCTCGTGCTCCCCTTTCTGATCTACATTTCGGCATCTCCCCTCCCCCGTTACACTACCTCCCGTATCTTCCAGAGCTACAGCTCTCACCTCACCCTTCTCTCCCCCCACTCTCGCCCCTCCCTGCCAATAGCCCCCCCCGGGAACCCTCCTCTGTCTGCTCCCTCTCCCCCCGACTGCACTCTCCTCACCCCCCTCCCCCACAGCCCTCAGCTTTCCCCGCCCCCCTTGTGGCTAGGCACTTACTCAACCCTGCTCCCCTTTTGGCTGCTCCCCCCCGTTTCTGATTTCTTTCCCCCACGCAGGCAACATCCTGGGAAACCACGCTGCGCCGACCACCTTCCGCAACGACCCAGGCCTTATCTACATCGCGTTGGACGACAAGGTCGAGACATGGACGTGCGCGCTCTGCGATTTCACCTGTGACGCTGCCCTGGACAGTGCCATGGTCCACATTCAATCCGAGCTGCATGCTTCGCGCGGGAAGGCTACGGCCCACCGCCCGGCAGCCAAGGAGGCTTTTGGCCCCTGGCGCGCTCTCACTCTGCAGCAGAAGCCTAAGGTGGCTGCCTTCCTCCGTGGCTGAGACCTGCGCCCTTGCATGACCGCATTGGAAGAGGCCTCCTTGCATATTCTTGGGTACACCCCTTCTTTGGCCCCCATTTAGGATATGGCTTTCTGGCCTGCTTGCATGCATTTCTTTCCGTCGTTATTATTATGTTGTTGCTCGCACCAAGGCCGACCTTAGCCACTCTGTGCAAATGTAACCAATCAGCAGTATATTGTACGCACAAACCCTTGCTCCAAATATTACACCAATACCGGTACACCCACACACACCCCTCTTGCTTTAGCCTGCCCACATTCCTTCGCAACTGTATGGACAAGCCCCACCCCGAGTCCTCGGTTTACCTCTTTTTGCATCTGTTTTACCCTGGACTATGGCGCTCCAGTCCCCTCCACTCACTCTGCGTTACCGGCAGCCTTCCTTGCTACATCTACTTCCTAACACGATCTCAACCAATGGACAGACACCCACCCCTGCCTCCTCCCCCAGTAGGCTCCACTGCCCCTTGCTTGCCTGGCAGGCGGCACAACGTCGCAAGCCTCCTCATGCAACCTCGTTTAAAATGCTCCTCTTGTGGATGCTTAATAAATCTTGACCTACAACTCACTATCCACTCCAACACTAGTCAAATCTGTAACTGGAAACACGTCCATCATATTAGTCACCCATAGCTCAGGACACACGTACCACCGGCCTCTCCCCTGTCCCAAGCACTCCACGTTACAACTTTCCCCCCAGGCCGTGGACACGCCGAGCATCCCCTATTGACCCCACCTCCTCCCCTTACACTCACCAGCTAAAACACTTGCTCACGCCGTGGATTCGCACGATCGCCCGTGCCGTGGCCTTCACGTCATTGCCACACCTCCGCATCCTATGCATCAATGTGAACGGTATCAACGAGACTCGCATAATGGATGAGCTTAAATCCTGGCTCTCGCGCCTCCGGCCCCCACTGACCTGGTCATCCTCATTGACACCCGTCTCATCCTCCGAATCCCCAATCTTGTTCTTAAATTCCGACCTCTCGCATCTGCTCACGCCCCGGCGGTGCTCTCAACTGACAGCGCTCGCGGGAGGCCCACCCTCATCGAAGGCATCTCCATCCTCTCCTTCAACAGGGCCATCTCCCTTTCCTCCCCGCTTCCCTCTGCTGATGGCAGACTTCTCTCTGTACATCTCAACTATCTCCGTGAGCAAATCCGCCTCATAGCCATATATGCGCCCACACAATTCTATGAGCGTCAAATATGGTGGACCACCACGCTTGTCCCGGCGCTGGAAACTCCCACCGCTGCCTCCGCATCCATGCTCGCCGGAGACTTCAACTCGGCCATCCTTCCCAACAACAGAAACCGCCCCCCTAAAGATCACGAATGTCGAGAAGGAGCTTCCTTCGCCAAACTCACTCGCTAGTCGACACATTCCGTGCACTCCACCCCACGCCTAACGACGTTTTCTCCTTCTTTGGCAGGCAACGCCACAACACAGTGACCCCGCCCACTTCCTCTCGTCTCGACAGAACTTGCATCTCCCGAACCTTCCTCCCCCGTCTCGTTGCTAGCCCGTACCTCCAAGCCCGCAGGACTATCACGGATCACTTGTATGCCCCCCTCTACTCGCTCTGTTTCACCAACCCCACAGTAGCCCCCCGTCCCTGGCAACTACGCCAACATCTACTCACGCGCCCCCACGCTGCACAAATAATTGATGCCGCCCTAGCAGCCTTCCCCTCCTCCCCTTCCCCAGATTCCTGGGACAAATGGAAGCTTGACCTCACCCTTAACTTTAAAAGATTTTCCAACCAGGAAAAGCGTCGTGTCGACGGCACGACTGCACATCTGGAACACACCATTGGCTCATTACAGCTGCAAGCAGCGTATACCCCTTTGAATCAGGACGAATCTTCCCGCCTAGACCAAGCTCGGCTTCACCTGGCCAGATATGAAGCCTCGAAAGCCTCCGAGATCGCGCTCAAGGCTAAATTTAAAGTAGAGGGGCACAGAGAAATGGGAGTCTCCTCCCTCCTCTCCGGACTCAACTCCCGGATCAAAGGCTCGATCATCAACTCCTTGACCCTACCCAACGGACTGACAACCTCGGACCTCTCCACCATGACCAACATGTGCTCTAACTTCTTCCTGGCCCTTGATAGCGGGAGCAACCCTGTCACCCGCAACCCATCCTTCTGGCAACATATCCCCCCCTCCTCCATCCCGAACCCCCTACTCATCCGCCTCAGTTCCCCCCTTTCCCTAGCTGAAATCGGAGAGGCTCTTCTCTCTCTTTCACGAGGAAAAACCCCTGGCCCAGACAGTCTCCCCGGGGAGCTCTTCCGACAATACTCCCCACGCTTCGCACCGGCCTTTCACTCCCTGCTCTCACCACCACAGCCACTCTCCCACCTCCCTCCGTCCATGCTGACCGGACGAACCGTCCTTATCCCTAAAAGGGGGGACTCCTCGCTAGTGGAAAACCTCCGACCCATCACCCTCATGAACGCTGACTACAAGGTCCTCGTGCTATGCCTTGCTAACCGCCTCCAGCTCGTTCTCCCCCAACTCATCCACCCATCTCAAACCCCTTTTATCAAGCACAGGAAAATCGGAGACACGATCAACGATACCCTTAACATCACGGAGTGGGCGGCCTTCTCCTCATCCCCCCTTCTTGCTCTTACGGTGGACTTTCGCAAGGCTTACGACCTCGTCAACAGATCTTTCCTCCTCCAGGCCTTGTCTGTCCTGGGGCTCCCCGCACCCTTTATCCACTGGGTCCGTCTAATGCACTCCGAAACATACACACGCGTCTCAGTTAACAACATGCTCGGCCCCACCTTCCCCGTCCGGACTGGTGTCTGACAGGGCTGCCCACTGGCCCCCTTGCTTTTCGTCTGCGTCATCGAGATCTTCCACCGCTACATGTCCCTCTCCCTTCCCGGTTTCGCCTTGTCCTCCACTCAGCGCCGCCTCATGGCGTGCTACGCGGACGATGTCACCCTTTTTCTTACCTCGGATGCAGAGCTCGGACAAGTTGTACTGATGCTCGGCGTTTTTGGATCGGTCTCTGGTGAGGTCCCCAACTGGAACAAGTGCTCCATACTTCCATTCAATATTCCCCCTTCTGACCTTGCTCATGCCGGGATTATACCCATCCGAGCCCCCAATGAGGCAGAACGCATCCTCGGAATCTACATCGAGCGGTTACACCCTGGCTCCACCACCTGGAACAAGGCTCTCACGCGCATACAAACCACCGCCAAATTCTTGGCAGCCCTACACGCCACTGCCACGTGCCGCAAATCCCTTTCCTCGATCTTTCTCAACACAGTCCTTTCTTTTCCTGGACGCTTTCAACCTGTCCCACCAGACATAATTACACGCCTTGATATGTCTGTTGGGAACTTTCTCTCGTCATCGAAACATAAACAAGGCGGCCTCGCTCAACGCCTCATTTCCAAAGGTCTCCTGTACAACTCCCCCCAAGACGGCGGGATCGGTGCGATCGCACCATCTATACAAGTCAAAGCTCTTGCTATTCAGCGCGCCCTGCGCAGATTTGGACCAACCCCCTCCGAGGAAGTAGCACGTACCTTGACCCCGTTCCCCTTCGGACTGCACGGTCTACTCTCCCACAAAGCCATCCTCGAACGAGATTATCTCCCCACCTTCATCCCCCCTCGGGCGCTGGACGAATTAAAAGCCCTCCTCTCCCTTCCGCTAGTCATTCATGGCCCCCCCTTACGCATGCATTGTATCCTCACCGAACCAATCGCCTTCAACCGGTCAATCCTCAAACCTGACAATCGGCCTTTTGGCACCCGCCAACACGAACAGTTCCTCTTTACAGGGCAATTCCGCATCGGACACATTGTCCGAATCCACAACTTGCATGTCAATCCTATCTCTGCCAAAGAATTTTGCTCCCAACTCCCGGAGGAATTCCACGCAGACGCAAAACGCATCCTCCCAGAGCTTATCAAGGCTATTAAACCACCTTGGTGGGCCGCCCTTCGAACCCCATACGCTTCTTCTGCATCCCCAGGAGATTGGTTCACGCTCTCTGAAGACATCTACACCGCATCTCCTCTCGCTCTCCAAGTTGTATCCTTCACCCCCCCCTCCTCCGTCTCGGCTACTATCCACCACGTCTCGCCAAATAAACTCATCGCCCGTGCCCCTGCAGCCACTGGACTCTTTCGCCTACAGGATCTCGTGGAGGTGTACGTCAGGGAACGGTGGCTCGCAGGGCCGCTTCACCAAGGGGCTGGGTTAGGGGTTAGGTTAGGACTACTGCAGGATGGCACCCCCAGCATCGCCGACATCCGTCGCCTCCTCTACTCAGCACAACCACTAACTCACCACCTCCGATGGACCTGCGACCTCACCGTCCCTCCTCCTCCTCTCCCTGACCTTACACATTCGTTTCTCAGGGATCAGCCGAGCCGCCAGCGGGACATCCTTTTCAGATTCTACACGCTCACCCTTCCCTCAGGATCTCGCTTCCAATACTTTGATGACAGGGGGATCTGCCCTCGCTGCCCAGCCGCAGTCGTCGAGACAATACCGCACATTTTCTTCGAATGCTCCTCCGCCCGCAACGTCAGCTCGGCCCTTCGCACAGTCGCTGACCGCCACCTTGGACAAACAACCACCGCCGAGCACATCTTCTTCCCAATACAGTCACGGGTAGGACAGTCCCCACCTTGGAGCCTACTAGTGGGAGCAGCGGTTAAGACACTGTGGCAGGCACGCTGCACCCACAGGAACCACAACTCCTCCTCGAATTTTGAGATCCTGCAGCTGATTCTTGCCCAGTTCCTTATCGCCTTCAAGATTCTGATATGGAGAAGCCGACGCCTATCTCCCAAAAAGCGACAACGCACATCCTCCAGCATCAAGCGAGCACAGGATCTCCGCTTCCTCCTCTTTGACCGACACGGTATACCATCCATTCACCCCAACCTCAGATTCTCATGGCTCTTGGGGAACCCTTTTCGACCCCCGTAGACAGCCTCTGCATAGAGCGTCTCCCCAGTTCGCTGGCGGTTGTCCTCCGGACAAGGAAATAACGTGTGATCCAGGTGCTCCTTATGGGATGTTGGCCACTCTGGCCATATTTTTAGACAGCTCTATGCTATATGACTTGTACATTGATTAAGATCAATAAAATAACCTTAACCACCACCAAGACCAATCGGTTGGATGGGATAAAGTGTACTGTATCACGTACGTCATGTCAGGCCTTCTCTGACGTTATATCTGGTTTGGTGAAACCGTGCCTGCACGTTTGGTCCGAACTTCTGTTAAAAGCGAGCGTGATTGGTTCGTAAGCACAATGGACAGGCTCGGAATTCGGACTCAGCGGGAAGACTGACAGTGATCAGGCGCGAAACCCACACCGCGCTGGACGATTGTCGAGGTCGACCAAACCTGTCCAGTGCATTATGTCAATCCAGGACATCAATAATGCGTCGCCGTGAGTTGCGGGACGCCGCATACTGTATCGACATTTCGCGCCGCGTTGCGACTCGCACAGTTCCACACCAAACTGACCACCACCACCACCCCTTGTGTGTAGCACTGACTTGGCCCATTCCCCCACCTATCGGATGTCCCTACTTCCAACTAGCCACAGGCCATCCCTTCTCAATAATTGAGTTTCTGCATCCAATAACATGAGGCCAACCACGCTAGTTGCTGGTGGAAAAAAATAGCTACTTCGCAGCAGCTAAAAAATTGATGACGAAAGCTGTACGATTTGGAACGCGAGACGACTAATTGCCGTTGGAGCAACTTGCGTTGAGATTTGGGTTCTCGACCGCAATCGCCGCTTCACACGCTAGGCCCCTTACGCCGCGAAAGCTACAGGCAATGGCGGGGGCACGCCTGAGATTAGTAGAACCAACTAGGCTTTCCGAACCAACAGACTCGCTTCGCGAACCAGCAACTTGGCCTTCTGAACCAATAAATCCTCGTTCTGGCCGAGCAGACCGCATGTGTTTCCTTAATCGTCCGGTACGCGCATCCGACCTCGCGACTCTGTGCGTTGGGACCCTTTCTCTTAGAACGAGCGGAAGGCCCGGGCTTAGCCTCGTATATAACTCACACAGAGAGGGCCTCCATTCTCACCCGCAACTACACAACTTTATTTTCGAGGCGACTGGAAAAAATATCCGTGCGGAGTCTGCTTCCCCAAGTGATCCAAATTCTTCCGCATCCAGCGCAATCAGACGCGGCTTCCGTTATCAGTCCGCACCCAAAGGCCCTTCTCTCTCAATTATTGGAAAGCCCATCGCAACTCGCATTGTTACTTGGGTAACCACCTTCGGCCACCAACCTTCTTCTGCGCCTCTCCCATTCTCGACCCCAGATTCTGGAATCTCCGGCCTCATCGGTCCTGTCCAAAGAAAAAATAAAAATCTCTGAGTATTTTACTGGACGCTGTAATAAGCCTCCGCAGTAATTTGTGAGAACCCAACGACTTCTGAGACGTCTCGAAGCTCATCCGTTCATCTCTCCATTGCGACAGAGCGCTGCTTTCTGCTGGTAACCAAGCACTGCGACAGCACAGATTCAAGCAAGAATCCAGCAGATAAGCTCGACCGGTTCTTTTCCCTGTCAATCGTACTCGTCCTTCATTTTCTCATTGCGACGAAACCCGGCTTTCTGCTGGTAGACCCAGCGCCGCAACAATACCGTTTCGAATCCCTTGGACTCTACACCGAAGCAACTTCGAGGCCCTTGGGAACTCCATGGAGCAATTTGGGTCCCCCAACAGAGTGTGTAGACAACCCGAGATGACTTCTGCATCAACTCAAACATCAAATCGGGTGTACATACAACCCCAACCCGAGCTAGCCAATGCATACTTCCCGGACTCTTCACGAATTTGCCGACGAAATGGTGGTAACACCCGCAACTCAATCTCGTCCGCTCTGGCGCAAGTTTCGCTAAAGCGCCCTCTTCCGCCAGTTCTGCTTCCGCTCGCCAGCCCCGCTGAACCCGCCGTCTCGCCTGTTCTCCGCTCCCCTCCGCTGAACCATCTTCCTGATGCCTATCCATGTTCCGCCGGTCTCGCGGCAGAGGCAGGGGGAACCGCGGTCGGTGCAGTGAGCGCCCGTTTTGGAGGCGCGGACGGGTTGACGGCGGGAGATTGGGGCGACAGACAGAAAAGGAGACGGTTGTTTTTCCCCCTGGTCGGAGAAAGCGCGGCAGCGAGTGAAGTGGAAACCGCGCAGGAGGCGGCACGCGCGAGGGCGCCCGCGCGTGCGGAAACTCTTGCTGAGGACCGGGCGACCATGGGCGAATCTTCTGAGGAGCGTGCGACTGCGGGCGCGGGCTTTGCTGGTATTGCGCGCTCGGAGCTGCGAGTTGCTCCTGATGGCGGAGGAAGATGGCGGAAACGGCGGCTGGGGGAGGGGGGCGCTGGTTTGGGGGGAGCGGAAGTGAGCGCGGGGGAGTGGAGACCGGGGGAAGCGGCAGCGGCGGAAGAGGCGGAAGAGGCAGGTGGCATTGGGGCGGAAGCCAAACGGAGGAGGCAAGGAGGGATGGACGGGCAGTGGAGGGCCGGGTGGAGAGGCAGGCAGGGAGAGGGAGAAAAGGATGAAGAGGGATGGGAGGAGGAGGAGGATGAGGAGGAGAATAGTGAGGACGATGAGGAGGGAGGGGAGGAGGAGTTAGAAGAGGAGGGTGAGGTGGATGATGAGAATGATGAGGTGGCAAGGAGCGAAGAGGATGGGGATGAAGGCGAAAATGACCAGCAGGGAAACAGAGTGGAGAGGGAAGGGTGCGCACGTATGCGGATCCGCAGGGGGCCTCAGCATGACAGGTCGATTCAGCCAGATGAAGATGGTGAGGTTGAGGAGGAGGATGAGGGGGAGGAGGACGACGAGGAGGAGGAAGAAGAGGATGAAGAGGAGGAGGAAGAGGAGAATGATGAGGATGAGGATGATTATGACGAGGATGAGGACGGGGATGAGAACGATGGTGACTGTAGCAGTGACTATGACGAGAGCTGGTGGGAGGAGTGCGAAAGTGATGTGGAGGGAGGGGAGGAGGCGAACAGCAGGTTGGGGGAGGAGAGATTGGTGGATGGATTGAGAGAAAGTTTTCAGAAGCTGGAAACGGAGTGTAGATTGGCGCGGAAGAACTATGACGAGTTGCGATCTGCTTGTAAGCAGCTTCAGGAGCAGAACAGCTTCTTCCGATCTAAGGTGAGAAGGTGAAGTTTTGTGGGGGGCTGTATCTATTAGTTGTAATGAGGATGACGTTTTCTGATGTTTGGATGGGTTTGTCGTCCTGCAGATTGAAACCCTTCAAGTGCTCCGTGGGGGATTTCAGACTAAGCAAGGTTAGGCTGAAACTTGTGAACCAACCATTATTCCTTCTAGAGGAAATATATATTGACCAATGTTGCAATAAAAACACAGTTATTAGCACAAATTCTATCTCGTCAATCATAAGTCCTATCTGACGAAGCTGAATAGATACACTAAAAGCAAGGTCATGGCATCCATGACTTAAGCGTAATCTTCCCTAAATGTAGCGCCACCGCACTAATGGCAGACTCCTTTAAGTCCAGAGGAAGCTGTATCTGAAAACGGGGATGAGCGAGGCGGGTAACCAGGTCCCGCTCGCCACCCACCAGGGCCGTGTTCGGGCATCCCATTCAGCACTGCCAGCTCGCGAAGCTGTGCCCGCTTCAGCAAGTCGTAAGAGTCGTCCTGAGGTGGGGGACGAAAAGTTTGACAACAAAACCACATTTGTAACTTCCGTCGTATTGAAGGTTCAGATTTGCCTAGCCCGCAGGCTGCGAAAGTACCACAATTCGCACTTCGCCACATTAGGCGCGAAAGAAAGCAGATCCAGCTCGCAAAATCCCCACCTAGGAAACTAGATCCATCCTCGCATTCACCTGACAGCTTGATTTTCGGTGGAACCTCGGATGATAAGTAAATTGGCTCCTCGGATTTGCTTCCATTTAATACGTACCACGGGTTTCAGTAGCTCGTGGACTATTTCGCACGCCTCCCCCAGTTGCATGTCCACGATATCCGCCGGTAATTCCGCAACGACGACCACGTGGAGAGGGTCGAAGAGGTGCTCGTAGCCAGGCTTGCCACGTAGGCGCTCTTCCTGTTGTGTGGTGCGGGAGGGCGTTGCGAAACAGGAAATTGAATAAACACGGAGAACGACTTTTGAGGCGCCTCAAAAGTGGTGTAGGAGGGCGTCGCGAGATAGGAGATTGAATAAACGCGGAGAGTTAAAAACGTCTGGGCGCAACGCCAGGTATCAGGTAGCGGAAGGTTTTGAGCCTAGCGCAGAACCATTATCACAAAGTGTATTAGAGCCAGGTTAGGAGTTGTCGACTCCTCCGTCACATTCTCTGTCAAGTTGAATGTGTCAGCACGGTCTTATAGAACCCGCGCCCCCTCCGTTGCTCTAGAAAGTGTCTCTCCTTTTCCCTCCCTCAAGTTCTCCACCGATCTCAACCCCCGCGCCCCCTCTCCCCCAACCCCCCCCCCCCCCCCCCCCCCCTCTTCTCCCCGTAACGCGGCCTTTACTTAGCTCCCCCCCGTCCCCTCTCTCAACACGTACCCTGCGCTGCCACTTCACCAATCCTCGCCCTCGGGCAAAACTTTCAGTCAACTCGCCTCTCTCTCCGCATATGCACCCTGCATTGCTTCTGACCCGTCTCAAATATTCTTCCTTTAACCCAGTATACGTACCCTGCACGGATCCTTGATCGATCCGCGTCCGCGGATCAGCACGCGGCAGCCCGTTTGCGCCTCCACGCGCTTAAGGGAGTTTCCGCGCGGCCCCAACAGGCGCCCCACGAAGTTGTACGCGGGGAAGCGTTCGACCGGCACGTTCACGCGCTGCATCTTCTTCACTATCGGCGCAACTCCCCCTCCCATTCCGCCCCCCATTCCGCCTCCCATTCCTCCTCCCATCCCGGCCCCCATTCCGCCCCCCATTCCGCCCCCCATTCCGCCCCCCATTCCGCCTCCCATTCCGTTCCCTGTTCTACCTGCTCCTCCCGCCCCCATTCCCCCTGCGCCTCCCCCCGGTGCTGGCGGAGAGGCCCAGCTGGGGAGCGGCGGAAGAGACTGAGGGATTGGCGGAGGCGGCGGGAGCATCACCAGCGGGGAAAACGAGGGCTGTGAGGGGTGCGAGAAACGGGAAACGGGAAACGGGAGACCGAGCGAGGGTGTTGGTTTTGACAAAGGAAAGGGCGGCTTTCGCGGATACTTATTCACTGGCGTTTATTGCAAGATAGCGTTCGAATTGATGGGTGTGGTTTAGATTCTGCTGGTACTAACGCGGATACTCTTTTCCGCGTACCTCGATCTCGTTAGGGAGTGGCGACCACGTGCCCCCATCGAAAGGCGAGGGACCAGGCGAAAGCCCGTTTTGCGACTTTGGCGAAGTCAGTTGATCGGGTAACAGCTGCTCAGGGTTTGATATGCTGTCGTTGTCCGTTGCAGATGAAGAACAGTTGAGCGATGTGAGCCGCGCAATCTCTGCAATAAACAACACAACTTAAAACAATTAATCACTTGAGACGAAACAAAATATAACTCAAGCGTACTTTGAGACGTCTCAAGAAACACAATATTAATCAATGAATCACTTGAGACGAAACAAAATATAACTCAAGCGTACCTTCCTCCAATCAGGAATCCAAACTATTTCAGCAATGCTGAATCGCATTCTGCCCCTGCGTACCTTCCTCCAAGAGTCGGGAGCAGTGCGGTAGAACGAGCTTGAACGGAGTAAGTTTCTTTCGCTCAGCGATTAGATCCGCCAAATAGCTGACGTAGACGGAGATGGTGGGAACCCAGACGCAGAGCGCGGAAGAGGGAGAGACAGACGCAACGGTAACGTACACGCTTGATTTGCCATAAATTGTAAGAGAAAACTTGTTCAATTGCAAGTCTGGGGTTGAAATTCGCTATGCGGTGGATAATATAAACTCCAGCTCAGCTTACAATTCGCCATCGCTGGTGGAAGACGAGAGTCTCGCTAGTCCCGGGGACGACGGCGAAGAGCCAAGGTTCGGCGTGAACCAGCCGTTCATCCTGATTCGCTTGTGTCACGTCGCGCGGGGCCGTAACAAACGTGACAACGCTTGTTACAAAGAAACAGCAGTGGAAACGTGAGTTCAGACTACCGACTGGAAAGCAGCCTGATGGATATTCTTGGGAAATGCCGTAGCTTTGCAGCGACGCGAGGCTTCAGAGGACGCTACTTGAGGGGCTGGTGCGGTCAGAAGCGCAGCAAACTGATACTAATTTTGCTACTACTCAGTAGTAATGGCCTCTCGGTGAGGTGTAATGTCAGAAGTTACCCAACCTAGGACTAGTTTCGTCTAGCTTACTAGCAGAAGAGACCTGATGATGATGTCTCGGAATTAGCCCCTTGGGAAAGCTTGCCAGTTTTCGAGCGTCGTCAATCCACAGGCAGGGAGAATCGATTGATGTATGTCGAAGATGGTTTGCGACGTTTATGTAGGGCGGTGGGTGGATTTGCGACGATAAACGGCATGATGTGGTCGTCGCATAGAGGCGTGCTCCGAGTGAGACTCCGTATGCGACAGTGTGCGACAGCTCATGCAGTTATCGCGTGGGCCACTCTGCGACGAGTGCTCACAATGTGTGTGTCTACGAGATCTCTATCGTGCTTTCAAATGTGTCTCGCCGCCGGATCGCGCCGACGAATCCTGGGGTAGAGACTGTATTCGCAGTCATGGGAAGCTTACTCGCGTCGCATTTAGCTCGACGCGAGTGCACGCAACTTTGCGTGCCGGAGTTCCCTAGGCCCGCAGTCGCTGCAAATGCCCTGGGCGTACTGACGATGTCCCCTGAATTCGAGATTATGAGGTGGTCGTGGAATTCAAAGCACGACCACTTTCGGGAGAATTCCGAGGAAGCGTGCGAGAGTAAATGGTCATGCATGGCAGTATCACACACATGTGACGACGCGCTTTGGGGGTTTTCCTATGGGCATTCAGTCGCCAAGCTGTGGATGGGTACATGAGGATTAGTGGTTACGAAGGAGGTTTGGTTGTTAGTAGAGGCAGAAGGGTATGGGATGCATGGAGGATGGTGGGATGTGTTGAATTCACTTCGAATTCGCCCCTCGAATGTGTTCGAGAGCACACACCTCTCACACTCACATTCTCAGCTCCGTCGAGTCGCTTTTGTCTTCTCAGCCCCACATGACAGACGAGTCGCGGATGGTGAGCCGAGCCGCAGATTTCCGCCAGTCATACCGCGTCAACTTCGCTCTCTCCCAAACCCCTTATTTCGCAAATGCGATTTGCGGCCTGCCAAGTTCGGGCAGCTTCTGACGAAGAGAGGGGGACGAAGAAAGTAAGCGGCAAAAGCTTTCCCGCTTGCTGGGGTGAGGGAAGATTTCAAGCCGCAAAAAGATTCCAAGGGAACGGAAATCCTGTGAGCTCATATTCAAAGTTTTCATCTCCGATTTGTGGCCAGCAATCGCTTGTCATGATTTTGCTGCGGCAAACCAGGGAATTTTGTCCCGGATAGGGTCAGAATGAATATCTTTCCTGGTTTGAGGGCAGAAAGGACACGTGCAGCAGATTTTTTGGCAGGAAGTGGATAAATGATGTCTGTTACGAGTGCAATTGAGTAAGTGAACGAGAATTGCACTATAGAAGCAAAAAATACAATGAGCGAAGGCATGAGCGAAGAATATATAGCGAAACTACAGTGGTAACGGTAATGGACTGTGGTTGTCGCGTGACGGGCCTGGGACTGAGGTTTGGGAAAGTGTCGAAGCAGAGGCCCGGAGCGCGGGTTACCAGCCGAGCCGTGAGGTTGGGGTGCGATGTGCGAAAATGGCGGGCTGATTGTCGATGCGAGGGTCGCGAGTGGTAACGGTGCTGGATGTGGTGCTATAGTGATGTACGCGTTGAGTAAGGATGCGAAGTAAGGAAAAATGATTTTCCTTACACTACCCCCCCCCTCCTAAGGAGGTCCTCCTTACGAAAGTGCGTGGACGTCCCTGAAGTTTCGGCTGCGCAGATATTCGGTGAGAACAGGGTGGTTTTCGATTCTGTCCAGGGGAACCCAATTGTCTTCGGTGGGTGTACGGTCTTTCCAGCGGATCAGGAACTCGATCTTTCGGGCTCCTCGAGGGTCACGAACTCTGTGGCTCAGGATTTTGTTGGGGGCGATGATTGGTTCGGTTGGCGGTCGTGCCATGCTGGTTGGGCGATTGCGTGGGAGTTGGCTTGTGGATGGGACGTAGGGGCGAAGCAGGCTGACGTGGAACGAGGGGCTGACGTACCAGTCAGCAGGGAGGAGGAGGTGGGCGGTGACGGGTGTTAT